AGAAAAATGCTAGCTGGGGAGGGTTGACAAAATTCCGGGCGCTGCTGGTCCAAGCCATGCCGGTGGCTAGACCTGATATCATCCGCTCACGGGCTTAACTCCTTTCTGGATTTATCACAGGTAAAGGATACAATGCGCCTAAGAACGTAAAATGGAAAGTATTGGTCCATCCCAATCCGTACGTAATATGATGATCGAAAAACTGGCATAAATTTGGGGCTGATTTACGTCGCTGAGCCATGACGAGATGCGTGAACTGTGGGTGACTGTACATGTTTAACGACGCGCTGTGAGCAATGACCAAATGACATCTCCAAAACAACACCTTCCAACTGGAATGTCACTCTACAATCACTACAAGGGGGACGCACCAGCAGCTCTCAAGCGTGACCCAGGTGCAACGCAGTCATCGTCGTCGGCTTAAGACATTCCAGGTGTCATCCACTGCCTGGACGCCTCTTCGCGTGAACTCGCCGACGAAGGAGGCCGAGATGATGCCTCAGTTGAAGGCAGGGCGACGTCCTGGTGCAGGCCACGCCTAGGGGCGCCTCTAGCCTGGAGTTTTTTATTTGTTTTTTTGGGAGGGGGGGGAGGGGCAACCGTTCATCGCCAGCTGGCTGGTGTGGGATCCGAGGTCTAATGCACTTATCAAACACGATGTTTGCGCCGAGCATGACTAAGCCGCGTCAACATGCGTTTGTTTTGATATTCAAATCGCTGCCAACTTTTCTTCATGCAGTTTTTCCGAAACGGAAAGAAATATTTGATACCGCACCATCAAAGTTAAAACAGACGGTAAGTAGCCGAAACTTTTATGAGGTTCTGGGAATGTTTTTTTTTGGGGGGGGGGAACCATGACGGGATGCGTGAACTGTGGATGACTGTACATGTTTAAAGACACGCTGTGAGCAATGACCAAATGACATCTCCAAAACAACACCTTCCAACTGGAATGTCACTCTACAATCACTACAATCCTCCCCCCCCCCCCCCCCAGGATCCGCCTACGGCCACGACAGGAGAGGGCTTCAGGCATGGACCGGACGGCAGCAGCAGTCTCCCAGCTCCAACTGAAGACCCAGTGGAGAGATGCACGCCGTGGCCATGCACAGCGTTCAGCATCAAGACTACGGCCCGCTAGCACTAGCCGATCCCCCGCTCTCAGGGAGCTAAAGCAGAGCTGGACCGCGTGGTGCCGCCGAAGGGGACGGTACGCAACCGCCATCGCTCACCTCCTGCGAGGCATGTCCACACCTGCACCTGCACCTGCCACCTGGGCATGCAAAGAGCCAAAACGCAAACCAGGCCAACCGTGTACCGGCTCAACATAGGCGACGACATCTCTGCTGTTGCCGGCTCTCGTCACGTTTGGAGGCGGCACCTGTCATGCCGTCAGAAGGACCGGACGCCGCAAGATCCACCACACATTCGCGTCTCCGAGTCCATGTCCTACCGACCACGCTATGGTGCGGCTGTCGGCGGACGATCATGAACACGCCTCCCAGCAGAACTGGTCCACCTGGGCCGCCAGGCAGAGCTGCGCCCACATATATGGCACGGGACTGATAACACACGGCCGGCTAATACAGATTTTCTGGCAGCAAGAATGGGCAGCACAAGGCCCGCAGCATATGAATTGATGGAAGCGATATCGCAAAAATGCAATTTACAAGCTTATTCACGTTAGCCCCCCTCCCCCTCATTCTCAAGTGCATATGCGCACCAGAGACTCGCTACCCGATGTGATGCACTCCCTTTATCACGCGGCTTGTAACAAGCCTCTCACATTTGGTACAGGATACAGGCCGATACCTGCAGCCCTCTGCACTGACAGTTAAAGATCTGTATTCTCGAGCGGACCGGGGGAGCTCGGGCGCCGTCAAGTGCACAGGCACTTGCCGATGTGACCGCCGGCTGCAGCTGTTCAGGGGCTGGCGCCCTGCCTAGCGCGCCACGGACTGGCGGCCGGCCCACCCGTCTGCGCTGCACTGGACGAGTGCGCGTCAGCCAGCGTTGTTGTCGGATAGGGGGGGGGGGGGGGTGCGACCGCAGGAGCACGGCAGCGCATAAGCGGGGAGGGTAGAGGGCTGCTGAGCCGCGGCGGTACATGGGGGGGGGGGGGCAGAGCGTAGCTGGACCGCGGCGCGGAACGTGAGCGAGCAATGCCGCCTCGTCACACCTCGAAGCTGGGTACTGGCAGCACTCGATAGGCGAATGATTCACACTGCTTGCTGAATGGAGCTGAACGAGTTAAAGGGACACGAACGGCGCCAGTGCCAGGGCCGCCCAGCGTGCTCCTCCTGTTCGACGCGCGGACGCAGCCCGGTACGTCAACGCATCAATTCAAGCTGCATGTGGTCATCAGCTGTCAAAGACCTTCGCAGTGAACTCATCTGTCAACAAACCTATCACGCGCATCCGCAGCGGCGTCCGCTGCGTAGTGCCGCGCTGCTGCGACTGTGCGACAACGTTGCGAAGGAGGAGAATCGACGCACTTATTTGCAACGCGTCATTATGGAAGAAACGTCCCTCTAGTTTCGTTTGCAGGCACACGTACGCCCAAACTGAACACGAAATGATTGACGGTAAGTGAAACGCCAATGGATCCAGCAAGAGCAAAGAGCAAGAACGTGAGCGGACGTATTTTGAATTAGCGAGAAGGAATGTTTCCTAATCGGACGCTAAAAAGTGCGTACACTCAATGTCATGTGATGAATTACAACCACAACACTTATTCACATTATAATCTCGCATGACAGCCGAGCAACTCAAAATCACCGGATGCGCGTCAAACACCACCGAGCAGAACTGCAGCCGCATTCTGGCCCGCTATACACAGTGCTCTAAAAGTGAGAGTGCACAAAAACCACTGCACACAGCTCTACCTGTTGTGTACATGGGCGAAATTTGACACATATAGAAGAAAGACGCGCAATTATAATACTGGTGTAATTAACGGATCAACACTATAACGTGTAGTATAAACTGCTCTAACATACATTGCTCCCGTACACAGCGGTGACTCAGGGCGTAAAGCAACCTCCAAACAGAGCCGTACTCCGCATTTTTCTGGAGGCAAACTTCCTGACGGTCATCGATAAACTGTTGCAGTCTAAGAAAGTGGCTCCAGAGGTGGCCTGAGGAACACCGGACATCATCGAACCTTTCTGGCTTGAGTCTGGAAATGCCAAACATATGACCGTCGATAGCGCAACATACATCGGGGTCTAGAAGACGCTTTAAGCACCACTAGCAACGAAATCAAAAGCAATCAGGGGTTGAATGGTTCTAACAGGATGGAACAACACCACATACAGCAGAACTAAAGGAAAACACCGATTGTCAGTCCAGATCGGGAGCATCTCATTTTCCTAAAAACCGAAACCAGGGCCCCTTACTTCCTTGATTGAGTGCCCCTCACCGCCCTGAAAAACGATATATACAGAAAAAGCCACAGACACCGCGTAACTGAAAATAGAAATATATGCCCACATCAGACCGATATTGATAACAGGACATAGCCGAGTGATCAGCCAATCCGTGCGTCGCCTCAAAGTCTGCAAGCAGCGACGCGTCTCACATCTAAGGCATGCAGGCACAGTCAAATGATCCGGAAATTAATTAAACAGGTGGAGACAAGTCCACCAAATTATAAGAACTTGCTATGCTCGCACTTGGTCCATATTTTGGTCCCACATTTTCCAACTTACATGTTCGCTAGAACCCGTTGTTTGGGTACACTTTTCAAAAATACCCGTCATACGCATCATGGACGTTTAATGTGTTGACCGCTACCCGCCGAGGCGAAGGCGGTGCTTCCGGGGTTCAGTGGGTATCCGGTCCACGGCGCGCCGTTCCTGTGTAGGCGAGAAACCTCAGCACGCGGCGGGCGCACTGCCGATTCCAGGTCCGGAACCAACACAGCCATCGCTGATGCCGCGTGTCGCACACGCGGCTGAGGGCACACAGCTCCCACACGTCACGTGTGTGTTCGGCGCGATACCGCCGGTGGGTGGCGCGCTGAAACTGGTGATTGCTCCGATAGCTGCCCCAGCCCGCGCCTGCCTTTGACTGGGTCCGGCTCATCATTCAGCCATGTCCCTGTTGGGCGCCTGCGCTCTTGCTCGATGCCTGTCGTTATGCCAACGCGCCACTTTTGGAGCAATTCCGTCTAAACGAATAATGTTGCCGCCGGTGAGAGTAGTGCCGCGTATTCCCATGACGTGGCCGCCTATTCCAGTCCGAACCACTCACAGCCAATTGACAGTAGATCATCTTTGATGAGCCACATCACCAAACGCTAGTTCTGGGGCATACACCCTCGTGGTTAGCCACGCTGGTGTTCACATCGTCCAGTCTCTGACCACCGAGCCAAAGGGACGGCAACTTGGGTCACTTGACAATTCATTTGGCTGGGAGGACTATTAGCATTGCTATCTTAACTATTGCGTGGGGCGCCGAAACGCAACTGGCAGCAAGTCTTGAGCCCACAATCTCACGGCTCTACATGCATCAGTTTGCCACTGAACTATTTCGCCCTGTTGCACGCGAGCATAATTCGACCCTCCCAATATGAAATTGGATGGGGGGGGGGGGGCGCTAAACACTAATCAAAGTTTCAATGTCACCTGCTGAAAATTGCAGTGGGGTTTGACATTCACCGAAGTAATCGATTCATGACGGTGCCCTACGTCTACGAGGCCCTCCGGCAAATGAACAACGGCCCGTTAAGTTCGTGAAGATAGCACCGCATCTGCTGTACAAACCATTCCGGAAGCTAACAATACTGACGAACGTGCTCCACCACGAAACCACGGCATTTAGCCATGCCACTCGATCCCCGCGGTCAGCGTGGCTGAGCGGAGGAGGCGAAACAGAGGCGACTGCCGCAGAGGCGGCGAGGGGCGGCTCGCAACCGCAGAGGCGACGAGGCGAAGCTCACTACCGCAGAGGCGACGAGGCGCGGTTCGCCGGCGCAGAGGCGACGAGGCGCAGCTCACCACCGCAGAGGCGACGAGACGCGGCTCGCCGGGGCAGAGGCGACGAGGCGCAGCTCACCACCGCAGAGGCGACGAGGAGAGGCTCGCCGTTGCGCCGGCCTGCCGCGAGACGGCGCTGCGGAGGCCCGGCCAGTGGCGGACGTGGCACATGGCCGCACGCGCTGAGCAGTGTGGGCACAGGCGCAGTCAGGGACACAGCTCACAGCGGCAGGGCACGCTGTCACCAGAAGTCGCGAATTCAACAGGCACCGTCGGGAAACGGTTCAGGGTGTGTCACAGACAATCCTATTGCACGGGAACGGTTCGGCTCCGGTGCGGTGCGGGGCGGCGCAACGAACTCGCCTTGCCCTCACCCTTCTTCCTCGCCCGTCACAAGTAGCGGCCAGGGCGCACCATGGACGCCGCCGATCCTAGCACCAAGCACCAATCGCCGCACCGCGCGGCCATTGGGCCGAATTCGGCTCCATTAGGACGAGCGTCCCGCCACTTCGCCTGCGCTCCCGCGGCGATACTCCCACCGAGCCGGCGCTCCCGCGGCGATACTCCCACCGAGCCGGCGCGCTCCGCGGCGATACTCCCACCGAGCCGGCGCGCTCCGCGTACCCACCGGGTCACCTGGACCGGCGGATGAGGCGCTGCCGGGCGTGCAGCGAGGATCCACACGCCGAATAATACTACGTCGACATGGGCTGTGACCGGAACAGCTCTTCCTCGTGGATAATTCGCTACTAAAAGCCTCGACCATGGCAGCCCAGTGGCATCCGCTATTCAGTTGTTTAAAACTTGGCTAAAGGGTCAACCGGAAACGATATCCCACCTCCCCTGTCGTCTAAATACCGACATATATCCTCTAAGCAAGAAGGGTCTTGCGCTCCAAGTTTTTGGCATTAAGAGAACCTAGTGAGAATAAGTGCCCTTCAATAAACCAGGAGATACTTTTAACACGACATTATCATGGAAACAATGGCTACAGGGCAGTCCCAGGACAAATCGTGGATCTGGACCCCAACTTTGCACCCTCATGTATGGTAATTGCTTCAAACCTGGTACATCGGCTGATCTAGATGCACTGATTGTTGTCTGAAAGTTTGAACCCAGTCGGGTAATGGGTTTAGGCCATTGGTGTAATTTCACGTCTCTGAGATTGGGGGGGGGGGGGGGATGGAATCAGAATTACAGGAGTCAAACTGGGATCTTAAGGGTTAACTTGACATGAAAATGACATTTTGGATGCGAAGACGTGAGAAACGTGCATACTTTGGGCACAATGGGAGGAGCCCCCCACATTATAAAACATAGAGACGTGTCCCCTCCCCCCCCCCCCCCAGTGGCTACCCTCACGGTATATGTCGTCAAGTCATGACCTTTTCGGGGCCATCGATTGCAGCTCTTTACAAACTTGTGGATAAAAACTACCAAAGCCTTAAAAGAAACAGCAGATCTGAATATCTCCAGAAACGGCAGAAACTGAGCAATC